TTATGGAAATTTTATATTGCTAATTACAATACGTTGTATTTGATGTCATATTTTGTCATCAGCTGCTGCMGAAGGCTCCATCTTATCACTGTATAGCTTTGACAAACTTAAATCACCCAGCAAACATAAGCTACCAGTAGAGCTAAAGCTTTATGGAGAAGGGAAGAATATTGATAGGTATTTGAATAAAATGTCTTGTAACTTTGAATCATTATTATTCTTTAAGAACCGCATTTACTAAATTGTGTAAAATATTACAAAAAGGTAATCACAATTTTACAGATTTAGTGTGCATTGAATGTTTCATCTATATTGATTTAATATTGATTTTCATGACCATAGTTCAAATGGATATTATTTTGAGTTGCGATTTGTTGGCTATTGTTTTGTGATTTCAGAACKTCTCATTTTCGGGATGCATGGGACAAAGGGAAGATTATGGCAAATAGCCAAAACTTTGCCAGAGATTTGTCTTCAACTCCTGCTAATTTAATGACCCCTACAATATTTACTCACACTGTTAAAGATAGACTTGGGCAGCTGGACAATATTAATATTAAAGTGAGGTGAGTTCATTACAATTGGAGTTTCACAAATATTTTTGCAACCAAGAAGCCTGAGGTCTATTCGAAGCTCGTCTATTCGTAGGATACTCGAGGAGAAAGTTGAAGGCACGTGACGCTTAGTGATCAGAGAGTTGGGAAAAGAACAGGGTCAATTGTTTCGATTGCGTAATAAAGAGAGAAGAATTTACATCGAGAAGTTASAAATATTAATCTAGACGAAAGCTTGTTCTAGAGGCACTCTTGACACTATTCAGTACGATAATAGGAAGAATCGAGAGTTGAAGTGCTTGGAAAGGACGTTATCCAGGGCTAAAGACCGTTAGCTCTTAGAAATAGGTTCGAAAAAAATATTTTCGGACCTGGCTGGGATTCCAACCCACGACCTTCGGATTTGTACTACCGATGCTCTACCAGCTCTACCAGCTGAGCTGCAAGGTCAGACTGGGAGCAGACGTAACATAGATGTTGGGTCGCGGTAATTGCCCGGGTAATTGGAAGGACATGACTAATGTGGAGGAGGGAAATACAGGAAATAGAGGTTATTCCAGCAAGGTCGAAATTCATTTTTCCGAATTCATTTACAACGGTCTGGAATAACCTTCTTTATCATATAATTATCTATGAAATACCTATACTTCTCCATTTCGTAAAATTGATATTTTTACTAGTGAAAATAACACATTCGAGGWYTCTCTATATAGTGGAAATAAGAAAAAAGGTATTTTACGGCATAATTTGCTTTCATATACAATTATATGATAAATAGAATATTACATGTTCGCTTGGAGATACGAATTTTATCTTCTCGTGTTGAAAATCGCTACGCTCACTCGTGAGAGATCTTTTCAACACTCGAAAATAAAATCCGTATTTCCRCGCGCCCATGTAATATCCACTATTTCTAAAACCWATAACTTTACWTTCTTTCKATTTCATGTATTTCCTAGTGCCACKCGGTCTAAATATTCACKCTTCACTGTAGATGGATATAMWRAGRSGYRTAKWGWGMRMAMMRMARRWKATRYKYTWWAA